AGGAGAAGGAGAAGGAGAAGGAGAAGGAGAAGGAGAAGGAGAAGGAGAAGGATTTCCCTCTGTAGAATTACGATGGGCCTTCCTCATGGAGGGTTTGACTTGAGACAAGCCCTTTCAGCATCCATCCGTGCAGAATGGATGGACTTCCTCTCTTGCTCAGTCTGGTGCTACCAAATGAGCAGAATCAAGGAGGAGTCCTCACGTCTCTCACACCGGTTTGCACACCTTTCCCATCCCCTGTCCCCCGGAAGCAAACTCCTTCTCTGCTCTCACTAGTGACAGTGGCAGCATGCACAGAAAAGGGGTGCAGCGTGGTCCTCCCTCTTCCGCAAAGCTGCTGCTGCCAGCACTGAGCATGCAAGAAAGAGTGAAACATAGAAGTAGAGTGAAACATAGAAGTAGAGCAAGTCAGAAGGGGTCTCCCAGGTCATCTAGTCTGACCCCCAGCTCCAGTCGGCTCCACTCACAACATGCCTACCATGTGCACGTCTAGCCTATCCCTGAACACCCTCCCTGAGGGGGCCTCAGCCACCTCATTTGGAAGCCCATTCCATGCTGTCGGGGTCCTGACTGTCACAAAGTGCTTCCCGGCATCCAAATGGAACCTTGGCTAAGGCGCTGCTTGTGCGGTCCATGGGGCTGGTTCCTGGCGGGTGGCCTGCAGACGCTGGACACTGTTGCCAGGACTCGGATCCTGGGATGCTCAGAAGGTAACCAGAGTGCAGGGAATCCTTTCCGCACCACAGCGTTTCCCTGAACCTCCCCATGGCGGGTCGCAATCTCCTCACCATCTTGCCCAGCCGGTCGAGGCAAAGACTGCCCCCAAGGGGGTGGAGACCTCCTTCCAGCTCGTTGCCCCAGGAGCCCTGGGACGCTGCGGAGACCCAGCGGTGCTGCGACCTTGAGTGGAGTCGCCATGCTCAGGGTGCAGATTTGCATGGGGGGGCGGAGCGGGGCTTCCTCCAGGAGGGATTTAAGGAACGGCGCAGGAGGCAGCCCAGCAGGGCTTCCTTCCATCAGAGACCCAGACTCTTCGGGAGCCGTCGCCATGGGCTGGGCACTGGTCCTTTGCATGCTTCTCACTTACTGGACAGGTAAGGGGCGAAAAGCGCACTTTCCTGAGAACCCAAACTTGGCCTCTGTGTTCCTTTTAGGGTCTTCCCAGAAGTGGATGGCACGGAAGGTGTAACACTGCTCTCTCCCTTTTCGCACAGGAGTCAGCGCACAACGAGTTGTAACTCAGCCTCCGTCGCAGTCCGCGTCTCCGGGCCAAACCGTTAAACTCTCCTGCACTGCAAGTCCTGCAGGAAACTGGTATTTCGGCTGGGTCCGACAGCAGCCTGGGCAGCGTCCCCAGTTCGTGCTGTATGGAAGCAACAGGGGAGAAGGGATCCCCGATCGGTTCTCGGGCTCCAGCAATCGGGGGAACCCCAATTATCTAACCATCACCAATGCCCAGGCTGAAGATGAGGCTGAGTATTACTGTGCTGCCTGGGAAGATAGTGTCAAGCTGTCCCAGAGTGGTTGATTCTGAGGGGGAACTGAGACAAGAACCTCCGCTCTCCCTCCGCAAGTGGCAGCAGGAAGAAACAGCAGAGAGCTCACTCCCACCGTTGGCTGCAGAACCGCTGGTTACTGGTGCCATTTCAACTGCTCTGAACAGCTCCTGGGCAAAGCTCCTACTCTCCCTCTTTGGCACCTGCTCCTGGGATGCC